CCTTCTGGGCTCCTGGGTTTCCAGCGGGTTAAAATGACCTGAGGGAGGGCAGCCAGCGTCGCCCTCACACCCCCAGTGCCGGGCCCAGAAGGCCGTGTGCTGCTTTGCTTTGCCGTTCTGCAGTTCATAGTCTCCTTCTAGGGGTTTGAGGTCTTTGGCTTGTTCGGTTGTTTTTCCCCTGGGTGTATTTGGGTTTCTCTTGTTTTACCCTTTCTGTCTGGGTGTGTTTGCTGGCCCTGCTCCATGCAGGATGAGCCCGGTTGTCCGTGGGTCAGCTCTGCTTTCCTGGTGACATGTCCCTAATTTTGGAGGGAGAGCAGGGAGCTCATCCCACGCTCCCTTCTCTCCCAGAACAATTGCATTAAAAAGCAGCAGCAAAAGCCCGGTGATTAATTTCTTTTTAAGCTGTCCAGTGTTTATATATCAGTTCCATCCCAGTAGCAAGTGTTTTTCTTTCATCTGTGTCTGCTTCCCTGGAAGAGTTTTGTTTCTCTCTTTGTTTCTGTGTGATTTTTAGACACTGCTCTGAAAAGTCCTCCTGTCTGGTACTGTATGTTTGAGCCTAACCAATGTGAACTTTACAGAACAGCTATGGCAAATGTAAGCTGGGAAGATGGGGCTTGGGACTGCATTTCCGTTTGCTCTGGGTTGTGGGAAATACTGCATCTTGATTTGAGAATATGAAATGTCTGCTGTGAATTATTGGTTGAAAGTGTTGAGAGGAGTTTTCATTAGATAATGTTTACATACCTCACCTGACGAACCTTTGAAAATGTATATAAAAATAAAATAAAATTATATTAAGTTGCTTTAAATCAATATGTATAGCTATAAGAGCTGAGTTGTTTGAATTTTGAATATGTATCAACTCTCTAAATGTTGACATTTTGTGAACTCTGTGCTCCTGTCTTTTATTTCATATTAGACTATCGAGGAAGCTGTGTTCTTGTTACAGGTAAAAGGTTCCTGACTCAGATTTGAACTCCTCAAGGATTCCCACCACCTTGTTTTCTTTTATTCCTCCATTGTTGATATTCACCCTATGAGCTTTCTAAAGGTCCGTATTTTATTGCAGCTTATTAAACGTTTCTTTGATATCCAAGTTTGCTTGGTGTGATAACTGGGAAAGAGCAAAGGTGAGTGTGGGTGCAGATGGGGCAGCGCGGTGGGAAGGGCTGAGAGCTCCCCCTTTCCCAAGGAAATGCCCGGCAGAAGTGGGAGCCGCGGGCAGGTGCCAGAACTGGTGGGTGGCCCCGTTCTGCCCCCAGGGCCGCTTTGTGTGTCCCGTGCCTCGGCGTTGTCACCCCAGGGACGGGGTGGCTTGGGGAGAGACTGAGGGATGGATCCCAGAAACCAGGATGTTTCTGCAAGGGATTTCTCTTGGAGGCCCCTCTTAAAGGGAGGTAAGCTCGGAGCAAAGGGTTTTCCTCCCTTGGGGGTTTCTGAGGTCCCCAAGAAAGAAGAGGGCCTATGGCACTTATTCTTCTTCACCACGAGGTGGGTCTGCACAAACTGCCTGGCAGCAGCTTCTGTGCCTTCCTGCAGCTCTCCGTGGTGCTGCCGGGTCTCCGTGTGCTGGAAGGGGAGGCTGGCGAGGGAGCCGGCTCTTGCGGCACAGTGGGTTTGTATTTCTCTTCCCTGAGGCTGCCTGGCTTTTGCCCTGGCCACCTCGTGCACCCCCGAGCTTAACAGGTGGCCACTTTACTCTCAGCCGCTCCACCCGCTCGATCCCTTCCCCTCCTGCCCCACGCACACCCCCAGCAGCGCGGCCTCCTCCTGCCACCTCCTCGCGTCCGAGCAGGGCCAGGACACGAACTGCCCTCCTCCCCCCCTCCAGCAAAGACGAGGCCAGGCCTCTGAAGGAATAAATGTCATGTTCACATGGAAGACAACATAGACAATATCAAACATCTCCTAAAACAACACAGCCTCTGCTAGCAAAAGGGTGCTCAGTGCCTCCCTCACCGGCCTAGTACAAACCAGCGTCCTCAATAGTGACACACACAAACCCCACGGGCCCAACAAAGCCACAGCCACTGTCCTGCCCTGTAGCATCTGTAAACAAAAAGAAAACATCATTTGTTGACCCAAACATATAAAAATACTATAACAAAATGAAATACAAATATATATTAGAATCTGTAAGTATTCTGTATAAAGAGATACTTTAGCGGTTAGCTTACAGCAAGAACAGAAACACAACACAACCAAGCCCAGTCTTGGCCATGGGCAAAATGAGACGTGTCCTGGGTCCATCGTGCAGCAGAGGGGTCCCCTGCTGGAGAGGGCGGCTGGGACCAGAACATGGGCCCAAGGCGACGGGCACCCTGGCAGCTGGGGATGCATCAGCGATGGTCACATCACCCTGGAGTGCTCCCAGTGGTGATGTCTGTCTAGGGCACAACCGCAGCCGGCGCTGGTCCGTGGGACTGAGAGACTCAGCGTTGCTGCACCGGCGTGATTCGTCCATGCCAGCAAAGGGCTGAAGCAGTGTCCGGGCGCATGGGGTGTCCCGGGTTGGTCCACAGCCCCCGTGTCCATAAAGCAAGGCTGGAGCGGCCAGGCCACATGCTGTCCCCAACGTGGGCTGGCTGTGCGTGTGGAGGGGGCCTCGCGTGGGCAGAGCAGCTCCCGCGGGGCAGGAGCTGGTGGGACCTGCCCCAGGCGCCTCTGCCGTGGGCAGCTTCAGCCCCAGCATCTGTGAGGCCGAAACGCTGGCAAAGGACATGGCAAACCTGCACCCCCACTGTCCTGGCAGCCGCCAGCCCCCTCCTCAGGCTTGCTGGGCTCCCTGGCCTCCTGCTTTTTTTTTGCCAGCTGCCCCCCAAGCTCTTCAGGCGCATTCAGGCACCGCTGGGGTCTTGTGGGCAGCACAGCAGCGTCCAAGCCCTCCAAGGCTCTCGGTGCTCTGTTGGGTTGCAGATCCCACAGCTGGCAAGGCTGGCAGTCGGTGAGGCCAGGCAGGACTGTAAGCACCATGGGGCACGACCCGAGCTTGGGGCCAGTGCTCTGCTAACATCAGCCTCCAAGCGGGTCCAGGGCAAGGCACCCAGCAAGCAGCTCAGCTGCACCCCCAGCACCTCGAGACCATCCAGCACATCCCAGGCTATGTTGGAGCTGAGTCTCAGTTCTGGGCACAGCTGGATGCAGCCAGAGCCTGGCGCGTTTGGGGCTCAGGCTGACCAGAGTGGGGGGCTGCCCATCCACACAGCTGGCAGTGGTGACGCGGGCTCCGAGGGCAGCACCGCAGGGTGGCTGCAGTCCCGGGAGCGTTGCTCACTGCCCGGAGGGGAGGCAGCG